GTTAGCCAAAGTAGTATTAAAGGCTGTCTTACCTTATAGCGGAAGGCCTGACCGTCGATTGTTGTGTGAAGAACAGTTTGATCCAAATCAATGAGTAGCACCAGCTTCCTAGAATTTAGAAGGGCCTTCTCATCCTGGAGGGCGATTTCGGCCGCAACCTGCATGTCAAAAAAATAATCGGCTTCAAATAAGTGAGGTGTTGTGCGCTCAGTGAAATTGGAGATCCTGCCGAAAAAATAAGTCGACAGGTTTCATTCTGACGCCTCGGATCTGTTACGTGTAGGTCAATACTTTTACAATTAAAATTTCTTTCGATAATAGAAGGTTGCCTTTAAAAGACCACGTCTTTGAAAATCAGTTCCAACGATACGATTGTCAAAAGTGGACGAACTACTTAGTTCGCTGTGATTCGCTGTAAAGAGGAGGGCTAGTGTTTCCTGCTAAAAGACAAGATTCGCAAGACAATAGAGGAGACATAAAGTTGGTCGCTGGAGCAAGTGCTTTATTTCATGTATTTCATGGAGTTTAAGCGTAAAAATAAGCAGAAAGGGAGTACTGACGAAGACGATGGAGACTGGAACGGCCATTTCTGGCCTATTAGCTGTCGTCAGACAGATTTACCCAAGCCCAGGTCTGTGGGTCTTGAGCCTCGAAAACCCGCATTCCTTGGTCGTCGAACGTTACCTATTCCGAAGCTCTACCACTGAAAGACAGGCCCGTTATTCTGTCGGCCGCGATCGGGGACAGTAAGCTGAAAGTGTGTTCACCGATCGCAGCCGACAGGGCAAAGGACCCGAGGCTCAAGGTTTGGGCGTTGGATCTATCAGCTCTAAACGACCAAAGAATCCGTGTTGAAGTCTAAGATCCTGCAAAACCGGGCACTAGTAAGGCTGGCTGACGACGGCTAGTAGGCCAGAAGTGCACATCCCCGTCTCTCTTATCTTCGCCAGCACTTGCCTTCCGCATACCCTACTAGTCGCTGTGCAGACGCCTGCAAAGCCGCCGACACGGGACGTGCACGTCCCGTAACCCGACCAGTTAACGCACTTCCAGAATATAATAAATACGTCCGTTATCCTACCGTTCCACAATATTTAACGCGGTAGTTCCAGCTTTTAGGGCTAGGTAAGTCATCCGGAGGGAAGTTTGGGCTTGGTACTACAAGAATTTCAGTTGATTGTCCAGAAATGAGCGCATGTCTCCAATGGTGTGCACACCAGGTACTGGTCATTAGTTAGTTTGTGGCGACAAAAATTTTAACGACCATAACGGGTCAGGAACTATTGGAGGTCAGGGGACCTAACCCCAACCTTACAAACCTGCAAAGAGAGCTCCCAGCCGAACACAGAAAACTACGAGCATATCACCGGATAGGCCGTACGGACGACTAACCGTCTGAGAAAGACTATAAGCACTAATATTTTTGTTTCCGGAGACAATCCTTCCGACGAGGCCAGAAACTCAGTCGAATACCCTTGTCACTCGGATGATAGGGGAGTTTTGCTGCACCAATAATATTCAGTTGGCTCCAACAGTCAGTCCGAGAAACTTTAGCGAGGGTAAAAAAATAATGGGAGAGTACGGTGGGTAGAGAGTCAAAAGGAGTGAAAACGCAACTGACTACAGCTAAGCGTCCTGTCTGACGCACGAGTAGCGCAGTACATTTCCGCTTTAATGTTCAGTTCTAGTGGCTTCCAAGCAACTATTCAAGGGGAGTAACGAGTCTTGCACAAGATTCCGGTCACTTCTGTTATCATCAAGCTTGGCAGGCAGATACAACGCGCGTAAAATCTGCTGAATTCTTGTCTGTGGTAACGGTTTTCGGATAACCTAGGGAATACCTATTCGGAGACAAAATAGAAACGAGGAATATCACAAACCGAAGATTCTGATTCAAAAGGCTCATACGTGTTTCGGCAATTTTCTGATATTTGTTCGACATGTCTGACACCCTTTTCGAACATGTTCAGTTAGTACATTATCCTGCGTCGATAGTGACGGTGTTAAGGGCCTCAGTGCCTGTGTATAACAAGTATCAAACTAGGGTTTTGACCTGAGAAGGAAGTCAAAGCTGGTCAATGCTTGGTCGGCGTCACTTGCACGCGGATCACGACGAAGCTTCATAAACGGCATGGAACTCTAAAGACGTCAGGCAGGAATTTGGAGCATGATATGATCTCCGTCTTTACGAAGCACTGACTCGCTATAAGACTATGCATGGGCAATGGAGAGGCTAAACAGCTAGAATACATTCGTCCTCAGATCAAACTCAGACGACCATCTTTTCTCGTCTTGCGTCCAGACACCCGACAAGCAACACTTGACTTTCTTGGCTTGGTACGCAAACTAATCACTTATAGCCGTTTAAGTAGTGCCGTTTCCAAAGCAACGAAAACATAATACTGGGACTGAGGACATGGGGCCATCTAGATATGGGAGCATTCAGTGTAATTGCTCTACTACACAAAAAACGGATGCCGGATACGTTGGGGCTAATAAGTAAAGTAAGCTCTCGCGAGGACAGCAAGGATATTAGCAGACAACACAAACATTGAAATAAGTAAGTCTAGTGTGATAAAACTAAATTGTAACATAAACATTGCACCAAACCAATAAATATCCCTGCTTACAGGAAGGCATTATATCAAAGTACATGACGATAACGATGAAATGAACAGAAAGGCTAGAGGTTTGGGTCACATAAAATATTTCGAGAAACGCTTCGCAGTCTTCCAGAAAGACGTTTCGGGGGCTCACCCTCAAACACATGTAGTCCTGAGGAACAGTTAAAAAGAGGCTTCTCGCAAATTGTTCGTAACAGGATTTTTGATTTTTTTATACGGCAAAATTACAAGAAATTTTCCTGGTGAAGTAGCGAACTGCAGGATAACACATTTTGTCGCAGAAATTAGGCGTAGTGAAAAAAAAAAACAAGATGGTCCAGCTCCTGTGATTTTTGTGACATACAGAGTAATTGTTGATAGCGATGCATGGGGCTCACATGATTAGCAATGCACAGCAGTATGGTGAACCACTAATATAAGTAAAGAGTAGAAAGTGGACGGGATGCGTCTGACGCAAATCAACGAGGGAGAACCAGAGACTACTGGCAACTTTAGTTCAACGGTAACTTTTGGAATTAAAAAGATAAGTGACTTGAAAAAAGACCGGGTAAATACATGTAATTCGATCAAGCTTGTGATATCTTTACTTCCAATACACAAGCGAAGGAGAAAACGCAGAAAAAGAGTTGTTTTTGCAAAGGCTGGCTTTAGCAGAATTAAACGTGAACTCCCCGACAATATTAATCTATATGCGCCAAAGAACTTGCACATTGGAAAATGAATTTCTCTAAGTCACAGAATACGAAATCTCTTCAAGGTAAGATGATGAAATAGAGCAAAAATGCGCGCGATCCACGTGCAAAAGATTAAGTTACATGTATGTAACTATAGGGATGAGGGCACTGGGGATTTGCGGTGTGTGTCTTTAGAGAAAATACACATACTAAGTCAAATTTTTGTTCAAAGGGGATTAAATGTGCAGCTTTCTGCCAGATTCAAGAAGTATCTGCATTCTCATAATACGTTGTACTCACCGATTCGCTAACATGAAGCTCAGGAATCATGTGCACCATTGGAATACTGGCAGAGGCATCAGTAGTCCTTTCACCGCAAAATCCCCCTTCCCTGTATCAGTATGACTGGTACTCAAAGTGGTTAACGTACTTTCGGAGATTAGCGCCGCACTCAGCGCACAAGTCTCTCATTACAACATGGTGTTGGCAGGCCTGGAACTTAAACAGTGGTTCACTAAAAAAACTGCATATATGGAAAGTAAAAAAAACTTTGCACATATTGACGCTCCCTCCTGACACAGCATTGTAACTTGGCCATAACCAGGGCCATTAAATGTTATTTCGTCAGAGGAGACAGGCTTTATAATACAGACCACAGTTGAGGGTGTCACAGATTGTCGCCTCCTTGTTTTTACTTTGATGACAGTAGCTTTAGAACAAGAAGGCGGCACACGAACAAATTGATCACGTTCACTCATCCCGGTAAGGTTTCGGGTACAACAACCACACGTGTCATGCCAAAAAGTCAGTAAACACTCTGGCGCAAAGGAGACGGGGCGCGACCAGTTTTGAAATATCGGGACGGTTTCAGTAAACTAAAACAAGGAGCCATAAAATTGCAGCCTACTAAAGATAAGTACATTAAACCTAAAACGGCCTGTCAAGGGCCGAGAGCCGAGAGTGCACAAGGTTTGCTGGATATATATAATGAGCCAGTCCTCTACGTTTTTCTGTGATTGATAAGGAAAATTTAAGAATTGATGACGAAATGCAAGCTAACATTCCAGTGTTCTTGTATTGCTTGGAAACTTCTAATAAATTAGAAGCTTGCACGAATATTATTATAAATTAAAATGTTTGGGATATAGTTGTGATAAGTTATTTTAAGTCCGTACATACATCCAAGCTTCTGAAGGAACTTGCCCATGAGCTCTCTGTGCCTTTGTCGATGCTCTTTCAAACGTCATTTGACACTGGAACACTTCCTATCGATTGGAAGCTGGCGCATATTACTCCGCTACACGAAGGAGGTAACAAGGCAGCGACGACAAATTACCGGCCCATAAGCTTGACATGCATTCTCTGCAAAGTTATGGAAAGGATCATAAAGTGTGAACTAATGCAATTCCTGGAAGTTCACGGCCTGCTATCGAAATGCCAACATGGGTTCCGAAAAGGAAGATCCTGCACGACAAACCTGCTGCAATCTCTCCAGAGCTGGACCCAAGCTCTCGACGACAGGCACGCGGTCCACATAGCCTTCATCGACTTCCAGAAGGCTTTCGACACTGTGCCACACCAAAGGCTCTTACATAAGCTGAAAAAAATAGGGATCGGTGGCAACTTCCATAAATGGATCGAAAACTTCCTTGTGGGTCGACAGCAGGTTGTGTGCGTCGGTCGGGGAAAATCAGATCCGGCTATGGTCGATAGTGGTGTCCCCCAGGGTTCAGTACTGGGACCCAGTTTGTTCCTTATCTACGTGGACGATGCCGCAAGAGATTTAGACTGTGAAGTAGCAATGTTTGTGGATGACATGAAGATATGGAGTGTAATTCGGGGTCCTGCCGATGAAGACAGACTGCAGTTGAACCTGAATCGGTTGGAGGAGTGGTCAAACCGTTGGCTCCTGCGGTTCAACGTTGCCAAATGTAACATTCTTCGCCTAGGCAACACAGCCAGATCCGCCAGCACACGAGGCTACTTTCTGGGCGGTGCAGCCCTACAAGAGGTCGAAGCCCAAAAGGACCTCGGTGTGCTTACGACGAGTTCCCTAAAACCATCCGCCCACTGTCCGAGGGTGGCAAAAACCGCAATGTCCGTACTGTACGCCATCAAGCGTGCGTTTATGGACTTTGACGAAGAAGCTTTCTCTAAGACATTCGGAACATTCGTCCGGCCGCATTTAGAGTACGGCATACAAGCTTGGAGGCCTTGGGCTGTTGTGGATCAAAACTGCATCGAAAGGGTCCAGAGGAGAGCCACGAAGATGGTCAGGCGTCAAAGCTCCTTTCCTTATGCAACCCGCCTAGTAAATTTGAACCTCTTTCCTTTGAGTTACAGGCAACTTCGCGGAGATCTCTTGCAAGCCTTCCGCATTGTAAAGGGGTTGGATTGCAGTCCGGCCTTCGAGGACTTTTTTGAATTTGCTACCACGACCAACCTCCGAGGTCACCCGTTAAAACTGCGCAATCAGCAGGCACGGCTGGATGTGCGGAAGTTCTCCTTCTCGGTTCGGGTGGTCAAGCCATGGAATGAGCTTCCCGCAGATGTTGTGATGTCACCATCTATACAAAGTTTTAAGAAGAATCTGGACATATTTATGTTCCGAAATGACCAAGAGCGATGAGAAGTCGAGCTCCCCCCCTGTAACTCCTTCTCATTTTGTCCCACCATTATGGGCGTGTTGGAACTATTTCAGCCCAGAACATCTATTTGTACACCACACATTTTTTACGTTCTAAATAGGGTACTCAAAGGCTTACGCCTATTTCCCTCAATAAACTGAACTGAACTGAATTACTGACTGAATACACTGACTAAAACTTCCTCTCGTTGGAGAGCTCAGTCATTCGACGCGAGCGAAATCTAAGGTCGGGCATGTGAAAAAGATGATCAAAAGTTTTTTAAGTCGAACAGCAGCGCACTTTAAAAGACAAGTAGGTTAAAGAACGAAAAATGTCCTTTATTTCGTGCAATGTTATTAAGGGAATGTCAGCAAGGCAAATAACAGCTCAACATAATTGACTTTATTTCGGGTCTATAACCAGTGAATCGAGTGATGTAACTTAAAAAGAAACAAGCAGTTATACAAATAAGCACCCCCTAGCAGACGCTTCAACTTTGCGTTACAGAAAGTTTTCTCTCGCCAGTTGGCGAACTAATTCAGGCCTCGTAATGACGGATAATGTCAAGACCTTTAGACAGAAGTCCTAGAGGCAAATAGGCAATTGTTTCATCCCAACTGCCGGATGCTGCTGAACGTATTTCGTACTTTCTACCATGCATAGATCCTAAATCAGCTAGTTCTTTGGACGTGAATACAATATCGCAACACTTAAGAAAACTTCTTCCTCCGTCTACCACTCTTAAGGGAATGGTGGCAGGAGAGGTTTTAATGGTGGAGTCTCTTAAACGTGCCAAACGTCAAGAAATATACAGCGCAATAATTAACATTTACATTTACGCCAAAATTTTTTTAATGCATCAAAAGAACCCCGTAGATAACCTTCCGATTGAGAAACCAGCATGTTAGAATGCAGGAAGGAACCTAGCGCGCCATGCGTTAACGCTATAGGCCTGGTAAGATCGTAAACCGTATTGGCATGGGGGCTGACCAATCGGCATGCGTGAGCGCATATGTCCTCCATTTTCTCGGAGAAGGGCAACAGCAGAGAGGCACCGGGTGCGCGATAATAGTTATGCTCAAAGGATTCCATTGTGCCGTCCACCGTGCGCCTATGATGTCCATGGCGGAAGACCGAGCAGCAGTGAGAAGCGGTATATTAGGTAAGACAAGTTCGCTAACTTTAGTGTAACTATAAACAGGTAGGACGGGAATTTAGCATTAAGTATGCTGTATTAGGAGACATATCCAACCCTAGGTATCGGATAGTGTATAATGTGGGCATTTTGAAAATATCAAGGCGCTCACTCTTAACCCGCCTTCACACTGGTTAAGGAAGTAACGAACTTTTGTAGTAGGAAAATGATTACAGAAGTAGTTGGCAGGACACAAGTAAGTGGTAAGAAAGACCAGTCGAAAAAAACCTGCTAATAACATGAGTGCTATACAATTTAATTGAATAACAATACGAGATATTTCCGAATACATTGGACCAGTATTGCAAACTAATTAAGTTACCTAGGCAGTTGACTGACGTTGCAAGCCACTTGACTAAAGTTTCACGATTTAATCTCTCTAAATCTGATATGAGTAAGTTCCTAAAATTAAATTCTAGAGGAGATCAAATCATGAGGGAAGGTTTCAGTTGACATTTTCGGACATTTCTTGCTAGCATATCGCGTGTTGCCCTCGGCCTGCTTGATTAACAGTTCCATTATCATGGACATCCTTTAGTTATCTTGAGGAAATTTGTTTTAATGTGTAAATGTGCGTGTGCCGGCTACTAACTGCGGAATGCATTGGCAGAGTTCAGGAGAACCAGAGAGTTAATTAACATGACGTCACGGATTCTCACTCCAACCCGTCTGCCATCGTCTCTATTGATGGATTCCAGTGGGTATGCGAGACGTCAAGCGGACAACCTTTGTCTTCCTTTGATCGCAGCAGCTGCAGTGGACAGCAAATGTGCTAGCGCATTGAATGTTTACAAAAATTTCGAAATCGGCTTTCGGCTCCAGGAGATTACATACAGTAGGCGGGCTAACGCATGAAATGTTCACAGAATTTCTGAAATTCACTTTTATTTCGAAAGGATTACCTAAGCAACGTTGCAGAATTAATCATCATGCAGCATATGTCTATCATGAGTCAGTTACCACGGGGTGCTGGCTTTCGATCGAAATTCTTTTGGGGTGGCATGTGAAAACTACACTCTGTAAAAAATGGCTACTGAATTAGCATAAATTGTTTTCATTGATTTCTATGCCCTTAAAAATTCAGTTACATTTCATGGAAAACAGGCACAATACTATTCATTCTGTTGGTCATTCGAAAGAAAATTACGTCTTCTTCCAAATTCATACTCGAAGAAAGGGTATAATTCGGTTGTAAAAAAGTTCCTTATTACGAAATTTTTCGTTAGCATAGAATGCCCGTTCACAAACCATTGAGTCTTCGCATTCATTGATTTTGCTTGTAAAGTTTACAATATGCTTCAAATCCTCTGCTGAATATTATGAACCCCATATGATCTCCTCTTTATGCCATAAAAAAATGTACGGTCCTCTGTACGCGGAAAATATATGGCTCGTAGTTTCTAAACTCTAAATGGAAATTCGAAGGCATGTCATAATTATTCATAGTTATCATAATTATTCATAGTTATCATAATTATTCATAATTAATTCATAATTATTCGGGAATTGGAAAAGTCTTTGGAAACCGAATTAAGCCCTTCCTTTAAGTATGAAATCTGGAATATGACGCAATTTTCTATCCAACCAGCAGAAGTATAAATAGATTCATGAATGTTTCTCATGAAATATAATGGAATTGTCAAGGGAATCAAATGTCGATGAGAAAAAATCATGCTAGTCAAGTAGTTATTCTTTGTGACATTCCGGTTTAGCTTGCGGCCAGAAAGATGTTCGTTCGAAAGCCAGTATCCCGATGTAAATGAAATATTGTATGATAACACTGCGTGATGGTTAATTTTAAAACCCTACCTAGGTAATCTTTTCGAAACGAAAACGCCTTTCAGGAACCCGTTAAAATTTCATAAGTTAGCACACCTAATGCATGTCTGAAAGATTGTAACTACTACCTTTATTCCTCGAACAGCAGATAGCAGTACTAATAATAAAGACTAATATTGTTGATAGTAACGGAGTAAATAAGCAGTTAATACGCTTACACGAATGACATGTCGAAGTGCTTGGTGAGATCAGGCCTGCTGATATTAGTGGGAACGCAGGTTTTACGTTCTCTATCGAAATGGCTGCATCGAATAGGCCTACTGCAAGTCCAACTGGATGTTAAGTAATGCAGTCTTCTCTATGTACTGTCACTTCTGTAAAGCGCACTATGCTAGTCCCCACGCGAAAACCTGTGTTTGCTGCGTAAACCACGCAACAGTTAAGGTTGTGTACCTGGCTAATAATCGAAGTTGTATGGAAGGACATTGGGCTGCACATGGCAAAGCCTTTCCTCCATCATAAATTTTTGTATGAGCAGGTAGTACCGATAACACAAACAGAAGATGTTACGAACACAATCAGTTTAAGATATGACACTGCAGATCCGGCGGCTGATGGTGCTCTCCTAACGCAAGTACGACGTAGGCTATATGGACTGCTAGGTCTACAACTACCAATAATGTTACCGCAAGTACGCATTAGATAGCTTGTGTACCGAAGTTTGCGTCGACTCATCATTATGCAGAACACCGGATGGCGTAGTGTTATCCTCTACTACTGTTACAACAACAGTTACTGCCGTCAATACTCACATCACTAAAAGTCCAACTGTAAGTACTACAAACAGTAAACCAACAAGTGGAAAAATAACGGAAACTGTTGTTGCGATAGATAATTATATAAGAGGTTAAAACTGAAACAACTATTCATTTTCTTCCTGCAAGTACTTTTGTCGTTTACTGCCTATCCCCTGGTAAGAAAGTAATATAACATTCGAAATCTAAATATTGAACCCGGAACTAAATGTCAAGTCGCCCATCTGTCCAAACTAGGTATAACTAGTGCCAGCTAATTAATTGACGTCACCGACATTTCTGCTTAGGTAGGGAGGTCGCGTCGGCAGATGGCATGTCCCTGTGAATGTCTGCAGTGAACAGCGTACAGTATACGCTGTCCACTATGTGCCCGCAGACATTCAGCGACCATCCTAAACCCTTAATGTTTATTCTCGCGTTCCAAAAGCTCCTACAGTAACGTTCCCGTTGGCACAAAAAGGCTTCGGGAGGTAGGGCTAAATGCAGACACCCACTCAAGGGTCTCCATGCTTGACCATGCGTGAGCTCGAAGTGTTCGTAATGTTGCGACAACTGTTACCACAGCCCCACTCGGTGTCTTCTGCCTGCATGCTCCCCCACCCCCCCCCCTCAGACCAGGCATCATGTTCACAGTTTCAGGCTAAGCAAAACACTCGAGTTTTCTGACTGGCCTGAACTTACTACTATGCAAGGGCGGTGTTGGCCTTGGACGGTGCTTCTTCAACCGGCTCCATCGAAGACATAGCCGCCGACCCGCTATCACATCCGTTAACCTCCCCCCAGTCCTTCTTTCCTAGTCAATGTGAAATGTATTCACGAGCCCTATGTTTGTTCATTGTCCGAGTTGAGTGGCAGGAAGCATGCAAGAACCTCCACCTAAACGCAATTTGCACCTCGGTAAGTCCCTGACCAGCTCTCCAGGTAAACTGCTAAGCCAACGTACGACCTTCTGGGATGTGAACACGGCAGACCGATAATGATATCACCTCGTGTATGAGTCTCGCAAATGGTAAAAATATGCTCTCCGTCTGCATCTAATTGCTGCAATAAATCTGAAATCAAATCCAAGAAGTTTATCTAAACCGCATAAGGGCGATAGACAAGACAAAGAATAAAGAACTCCAGTCGGTGAACAGTTTGTGTACGTAGAAATGTAACTTGGTGTCCAGGAAAAATAAGCAATTGTTTATGAAGGCGATTTTACCTGTGCATT